GAGATGGAAGTCTGCTCTGTTTGCCCAGGACCTGCGCGCAAAGGCCGCCTCCACCTCGCGGGGTTCATTGCCGATGTCTTTCCGCTCAGCCTCCTGAGTAGCTGGTACTTACAGCGGTGCCCGCCACCAACCCGGCCTTAAGTTTTTTTGTTATATTTTTAGTGGAGACGGGTTCACGGTAGCCAGGATTGATTCTCGCAGTTTTCTTCCGAGACCTTTCAGATCCACCCGCCTCAGCCTTCCCAAAGATGCTGGGATCAACCAGGCGTGAGTCCACCGCGCCCCCCAGCTGCAGTGAATGGTGTATTCTTTAGATTTTAATTGCATTTCCTGATATTTTTTTTTTTTTGAGAACAGTAAGTTTCTCGCCTTCTTGTCCCTTTCCGCCCTAGGCTTTTGGTAAGCTGACGTGTCCCGCTGAATCTCAGGCTTCTTCACTGCAGCTCGTTTCCCCCTTCTGTTTGTTACGGTTTTTACTCGCCATTTCCCTATGCCTCAGTTTTTAAATCCTCTGGTTCCGAGCTAGGTTTGGCGTACTTAACAGGCGACCGCCCACCTGCTGCTTTTTTACCTGTGGTTTGTTCTTGCCGGATAGTTTATTTGTATTAATTTTTGTATATAGTAAGACGAGGTTTAAACCGGGTCGCCTAGGGTTATGGAGTTCGTTCCTGATTCTTCTCTGACCTCGTGATTTCGCCCGTCTCTTTTTTTTTTTGGTTCTTTTTTTTATTTTTATCTCTCCCCAAAGTGAGACTGGAATATTATCTAGGTGACTTGCTAGCCCCACGGTCTTTTTTTTTCTATTTTACTTTTTTAAAGTCATTTCTTTTCCAATATAGAAGGTAAAAAAAAAAAAAAAGATATATCACTGCACGTCTACTAAAAATACCAAGTAAATGTTGGCAGGGCTATGGAGCAATCTTCTACATTACTGGTGGGCTTGTGGATTGGTACAACCACGTTGAAAAACCATTTGGCAGTATCTACACCAAAGCTAAACATAAATATATGGCTATGTATGACCCTCAATTTATTTAATCATGAGCTCCATAACAACATTTGTGTCAGTGACAGACCACATATACCAGGCTGGTCCTATAAGATCATGATGGAGCTGAAAAATTCCTATTGCCTAGTGATGATGTAGAGCAATGCATCTATGAATTTCCATGTGTAGAAGTGTTTGGGTACACAAATTACTTACCATTGTGTTACACTGCCTGCAGTGTTCAATACAGTAACATGCTGTACAGGTCTGTAGCCTGGCAGCAACAGGCTATCCCATCTAGCCTAGGTAAGCAGTAGGCTATGCCATGTAGGTTTGTGGAAATATATTCTTAACAATGCATTTCTCAGAACATATCCCCATTGTTAAGTGGTACATGATTGTATTTATTTATTTATTATTATTTTTTTCAATTCTTTTGGTTATAGCCAAACTACTGGGTGTAAAATGGTATTTCATTATTATTTTGATTTGCATTTCTCTGACTAAAAATATTGAGCATCCTTTCACAGTCTTTTTTTTTTTTTTTTTTTTTTTTAAAATCTTTAAACCAACCTCTCCCAACCCTGTCCCCTCTTCCTCTCCAGCATTAGTCCTGGAGCAGAAAAATAGATTCCCAGAACAAATTGGAATTTAGAAAATGACAACCCTGGCCCTTCAAATCAGTGGGGACAGTGGCGTGAATGGCAGGGCTGGGGGGTGTGGTGCATCTGGCTCACTGGTGCTGTGTACTCTGCTCCAGCCCAAGCCGCCTCCATGGGTCCCACTTGCTGCACTGCTGAGGGCCGGGTAGGTGCAGGTTTCCACTTGGCACCTGCCTGAGCTCTGGAATAAGCCAGTTGGTGGGGGCAGGCATTTCAACCAAGAGCAACTAGGACAGGTTTGCCCCCTGATTTAAAATATCACCTTTTAAATCTGACCTCAGCAGCATTCTGTCTTCATTTATAATAGGGGATACTTAGAAAGTCTGTTGATTATATTAACTTAAATCTTTTATTCAAGATTTATAATCTTTTTTTCCTCCGGCCTCAAGGAAGAGAGTGGGAGACATGAAGTCTGAGGGCATTTGGACTTGAAGCAGGGCTGTACCTTGTCGATCTGCCTCTCTTGTGCCTGGAACATGGTAAGTGCTGAATAAAGGTTTGTAGAGGGCATAATTGATTGAATAAATGAATGAATGAATGATTACCCTTTCTAATCTTTGAATATTCCAGTACCTTAAATGCTCTCCTGACTATATTGAGTTTCTTTGGCATAAATACGGAGAACTTCTCATCCTTGTCAGTGGTGTCGGAAATCACATGGTGGGTGAAGGTGAGGGTATCCACAGAGATTCCTCGGGACCTCCCATAGTCTTGAAGCACAGCAGCAAGAAAGGCTTTGGAGAAGAACACACACCATCAAGTTCCTTGTGAGTCTCAAGGCCTCCTGCTGGGGTTAGCAACAATGATGTCTCATGGCGAAGGAAGGGAAGAGTGGAGGAAAAAGAGAGAACAAAAGAGATGGGCTGGGCGGGAGCAGAGGGCCAGTTCACCCACCCTCTTAGGCCTTGTTGACTTTGGTCTGGCCAGCTGCAGGAGCCTCCTGGTGAACGGGGGCTGTTTTTCAAGGCCAGCACCCCTCCTGTATTCATTGTGGGGATAGACAGGCTGTAAATTCTGAGACCCTCTCCATTTCTGAGCCAATCTTGGCTGATGATCATACCTCATCCTCTCAGCAACAAAGATGGGACCCGGGGCAACTACAAGACCAAGTGTGTCAGAGTCTTCCTCAAGAAATGACATACGAACACTGGGAAAAGGGAGGTTCTGTTGCCTCTAGGGTTGCTGAGGTGCTTGTGGCCATGATTCCCCCTGGGTGCATGGTGAAAGGCTACCTGCAGTAGGAAAAAAATGAGAACATCTCGAACTCACCATGCCTGTCACTACAATCCCCATCAGCCTGCTCCTCTCCCTGTGCTCCGTATTTCAGTGAATGATGCCAGCAGCCACCCAGCTTTCCAAGCCAGAGACTTACGAGTCATGCTTAACCTCCTTCTCCCCTCTACCCCTGTCCTTCCAAACACAGAGTCCAGTTGGTTCTGCTTCCTAAATGCCCCCTACTCCCCGCTTCTGCTCACTACCACTACCCTACTCTGATCACCACCAGCTCTTGCCTGGAGAATAAAGCAGACTCCTTATTTTATTTATTTTTTGACGAGACAGGGTCTTGCACTGTTGCCCAGGCTGGAGTACAGTGGCGCGATCATGGCTCACTGCAGCCTCGACCTCTTGGGCTCAAGCAATCCTCCTGTCTCAGCCTCCTGAGTAGCCGAGATTACAGGTGTGCACCACCACACCTGGCTAATTTGCAGACTCCTTAAATGACCAGGACCCAGTCTTGTTCTTCTCCAATGTACCCCTGCCCTTCTTCCTTCCTGTAGCTGCTGGATCATAACCTCTCTGACCTGAAACACTTCAGGCCATCCTGTGGATGGAGTCAACTCTCTCAGTGTGTCTTACACAGCCCTGGGGACCAGCCGTGCCCAACTTTGCAGCTGCACCATTCTTCCTTTTGTGGTCTTTTGTTTTGGCCATAATGAACATTTGGTTTCTCCTAGTGCAAATGGTGTTTTCTCTAGTAAGAATGCTGTCCCTGCTTAGTCCAGTCATTGAAACACTCAACTTTTTAAGTCAGGCTGAGTTCAAATCTTGACTCAGTCACCTATTAGTTTCCCCCACTCCCCTCCAGAATCATTTCACTCAGTAGTGGAGTGACCTTGGATGAGACTCTCAACTTTTTGCTAGTGATATGACTTGGGGCAAATTTCTTAACTTCTCTGTGCTAAGGTTTTCTCTCTGAAAACAGGGATAGTTACAGTAACAACCTCATAAGATTGCCATGAGAATTAAATGTCTTATCCCTTTTATACAAAATCCTCAGAACAGTGCATGGCACCCAGTAAATACCAAGTAAGCTCCTCGAATTATTCTCTTCTTCCTCTGTTCGCACCTGGATAATACTTAATTGGTAGCAAGCTTCAAGACTCATCCTAGACGTTATTTCCTTAGTGGGCTTCCCTGGTTCTTAGTGAAGGTTCCCCTGTTTTATGCTCCACAAGTACTGATCCATTCATATATTCTATTCAGAATGCCATTCATTCATTCTTCAAATATTTATTGAGAGCTTTGTGTGTGTGTGTGTGTGCGCTGGGGACTGTATCAGGTGCTAGGGACACCACAGAACTGAAAACAGACCTGGTTCTTGCCTTCATGGAGCTCACAGCCCAGTGTCGCCCCTTTACAACTCTCTTTCCATCCCCCAACCACACATCGTTGGAATGCACTCCGGTTCATGTCTGCCTTCCCTGCTGGACGTTTGTGCTGAGCAGGTCGGGCCTAGGTCCCAGCAAACATTCAGTCATCAAATCTTGTTACAGAAATAAATGAATGAATGGCTGAAGCTCAGAGTCAATCTTGTGAAGCTGCCCATCTCCGCCCCTTTGTCATGGCCTTTGGAGGGGCTGGGTGCTAGTGTTGACCTTTGACATCACAGGAGCAGTGGCCAAGAGATGAGACAGTGACCTGTCAAGGCGCAGGTGAAATCTGATAGGGGTGGGTGGATTTGGCATGTGAGGAGGTTGGGGTGAGGGAAGGAAGTGGGTGGGGAGGGAGAAGAGACTGCTCTAGTCCACACTAGAGACCCAGACACCTGTGGAGGCGCAGGTGTTGTCATCCTAAAGGGGAGGGTGAAAGGGTGAGTGACAGAGGGGCTGAGTGCAGACTTGTCTGGGCCAGGTGTGGAGCTGACCTTGGTTCTAATGCTCACCTTGTGGAAAGAAGAAAGCTGGGAGCCAGTATCTTGAAGGAAATCCCTCAATGAAATTGTTCTCTGACTCCTCAGGGTGTTTGCGTTTTTGGCTAGATGATGGAATAGACTGCTTCCAAATTGTGACAAATCTCATATACCTAGTGGAAGGCAGACCACAGGTTGGGGGGTTAAGGTCATAATAATTGCACAGCTTTGGGTGATGTGGGCCATTTCCTCCAGTCCCTCCCCTCCCAGGGCCCTTCTTTTACTTTTCATTTCAACTCCCCCAATGCAGGACTTTTATCAGGTCCTTGAATGGAAGCCAGCTATGATTTTAAGCTCATGAGGGAAAAGGGGGACCACAAAGGCTGCAAGGCCACAGATTTGGGTAACAAGAGATGTCATTATTATAGTGGGAATCCTGCCTCCGCCTTGCGGAATCTCTGTTGTTTTTGAGGCACAGACTTCTCCCAAAGGGTATAAAGAAATGTGGGTCAGATGTCTGCAGTGCTGCTGCTACACTTATAGTTAAACGGTGTAGGAGGCAGCCTGGCACAGACTTTGGAACCAGTTCTGGGTTTGAACCTCAATACTTTCATGTTCTAGTTGTGAAGCCTTGGGCATTTCATGTCCTTGGACTCAGTTTCCTCATCTCTAAAATGGGGATGATGATAATGATAGCACCTACTTCACATCACAGGGCTGCTGTGAGAACTGAGTGGACTGCTGTGAGTAAAGCTCCTAGAGAAATGCTCCATATCCTGTGAGGCACTTGCTAGATGTCGCTACTCTAATGCTTCTCCAGCTATTTTTATTGTAACTACAAACACATTTAAAAATTACATGTGGCTAGGCACGGTGGCTCATGCCCGTAATCCTGCACTTTGGGAGGCCAAGGCAGATGGATCACTTGAGGTCAGGAGTTCAAAACCAGCCTGGCCAACATGGTGAAACCCCGTCACTACTAAAAATACAAAAAATGAGCTGGGCATGGCGGCAGTTGCCTGTAATCCCAGCTACTAGGGAGGCTGAGGTAGGAGAATCGTTTGAACCCAGGAGGTGGAGGTTGCAGTGAGCCGAGATTGTGCCACTGCATTCCAGCCTGGGTGATAGAGCGAGACTCTTGTCTCAAAAAAAAAAAAAATTACATGTAACTAATTATTTCCTTTCACATTTCACCCTGTGCATTTCTTAGGAAAGAGAAATGTACTATGTTGTAGTCATAACTCTGTCTCTTGGAGTGGAGGGAGTTTACTCAAGACTCAACATTATTAGGTCCCCACTTTCTCAGCTCAAACAGAAGACAAGAATCCCGCCCTTGCTTAATTCACATGTAACTGTGACAACCCAAGGAGACCAGGCATGGGAAATGATGTCATAAACCTTTGGGCTTTAAGCAAAAATGAGGAAGAAATGTAAAGCAGCTTTCATCCATACCGACGCTGTATTGCAGTATAAGCCACTTTGGCCCAAGTATTGAAGAAATTCAGTCGCTGGATGAGATCATCAATCCAGGAACTCAGTGGCTTACATGATCTGTAGGCGTGTTTCTGTTGGGATGTAAAGACAGTCATATCATTTTTTTTCCTTGTCTTTGGGGTCATTAGGAACATTTCTGCAAACCTTGGTAATAGACTCAAGTGCCAGGCAGAAATAACTTCGCAGGAGAATGTCATTTTCCAACTGAAAGCACATAATGAAAAGTCTAAACCTTATTACCAGGGCAAAACAACATTATCTTAACAGTGTTTTGGATAAAACGCTTGGAAGCTTCCATCCTGGCTGAAGGCTTTTATCACTCTTCTCAAATCTTCTCATTTTCTCACCTTCTTTCCTCCTCTCTGGGGAGATTACCTTCACATGCTATTAGGTATGAGCAATTTCAGCTTCCTGGCTTTCCCCTATACAAAGTTCTATAAATCCCACCCACTGTCTACTCCCTTACCTACCTTTGCCTTCCAGTTCTGAGCCTAGCTGCCCCTGCCCTTGCCCCTGTGGATTCAGCTTTCCATTCTCTAGCCCTGTTTATTAACGCTCCCTTCCATCTTAACTACACAAACCACTCAACACTCAATCCTACCTGTTTGTTGCAAGTGGGGAGGAGGAGACCCTTGCAGCCCTCTAGCCTATTTCTCCTTTTGTTTACTGTCCCCTCTTCTGGAGTCTTCATTAGAAATCACAAGCGACCTTCATTTTCCATCTTCAAGCCTCACTCCCCGCACTATATCCTCTGCAGCTTTTGACGGACCTCATTGCTTCCTCCTGCTCTCTCCCCTAGGCTTCTGTGACTAGACTCCATCCTGGCTTTCTCTTGAATTCTCCAACTACTTCTTTTTAGGTCCCATTCATTGGCACCTCTTCTTCCCTCCCTCGAGGCTGGTGTTGCCTGGAATCCTTTCAACCCTCTTCTCTTGCTACTTTATATTCCCTCTCCCAGATTGAATCCATGGCTCTGTCTAGGTTGGCGACACCAAGCGCTCGTTTTGCAGCCCGTGCTCTTGTCCCATTGCTTTTCTTATTTATTTATTTATTATTATACTTTAAGTTCTAGGGTACATGTGCACAACGTGCAGGTTTGTTACATACGTATACATGTGCCATGTTGGTGTGCTGCACCCGTTAACTCGTCATTTACAATTAGGTATGTTTTCCTTAATGCTGATCCCCCCCATCCGCTCTGGTCTCCACATAGGCCCACCGGTGTGTGGAGGTTCCCCTTCCTGTGTCGCAGGTCTTCTCATTGCTCAATTCCTGCCTATGAGTACGAGAACATGCGGTGTTGGTTTTCTGTTCCTTGTGATAGCTTTGCTCCGAATGATGTTTCCAGCTTCATCCATGTCCCTACAAAGAGACATGAACTCATCCCTTTTTCTTATGGCTGCATAGTATTCTCCATGGTGAATATGTGCCACATTTTTTAATCCATCTATCACTTCGATTGGACAATTTGGTTGGTTCTAAGACTTTGCTATTGTGAATAAGTCGCCACAATAAACATATGCTGTGCATGTGTCTTTGTATTACAGCCAGCAATGCCTTTATAATCCCCTTTGGGTATATGCCCCCATAGTATTCGGGATAGGCTTGGTCCAATGCGTATTTCTAGTTCCTAGATCCTTGAGCCAATCGCCCACCATATCTTCCACAATGGTTTGAACTAGTTTTCAGTCCAGGACCCAACAGTGGTAAAAGCATCCGTTATATTCTCCACATCCTCCTCCAGCGCCTGCTGTTTCCTGACTTTTTACATGATTTGCCATTCTAACTGGTGTGGTAGATTGTACTCCTCATTGTGGTTTTCGATTGCATTTCTCTGATGGTGCCAGTGATGAGACTGAGCATTTTTCATGTGTCTGTCTGGTCTGCCAATAAATGTCTTCTCTTTGAGGAAGCGTCTGTTCATATCCTTTGCGGCACTGTTTGATGGGGGTTTTTGATTTTTTCTTGTACATTTGTTTTAATTCTTCGTGAGACTTCTGGATATTAGCCCTTTGTCAGATGGTAATTGTAAAAATTTTCTCCCGTCCTGTAGGTTGCCGCTTCACTCTGATGGTGTTTTCGTTTTGCTGTGCAGAAGCTCTTAGTTTAATTAGATCCCATTTGTCAATTTGGCCTTCTGTTGCCCATTGCGTTTGGTGGTTTTAGTCATGTAGTCCTTGCCATGCCTACATGTCCTGAATGGTATTGCCTAGGTTTTCTTCTAGGGTTTTTAATGGGTTTTAGGTCTAACATTTAAGTCTTTAATCGATCTTGAATTATATTTGGAGGGAGGAGGAGGGGAGAGGGAAGGGGATCCAAGTTCTTCAGTTTCCTACTTATGGGCTAGCCAAATTGCTCAGCACCATTTATTAACAATAGGGATCTTTCCCCATTTCCTTGTTTTTGCTCAGAGTTTTGTCAAGACCAGTGGTTGTGGAGTTAGTATTACTTCTGGGGGCTCTATTCTGTTCCATTGGTCTAATATCTCTGTTTTGGTTCCCGTACCATGCCTGTTTGTGGTTAGCTAGTAGCCTTGTAGTATCACTTTTGAAGTTCAGGTAGCATAATGCTCCAGCTCTTGACTCTTTTGGCTATGATTCGTCTTGCAATGCGTGTTCCTTTTTTGGTTCCATATGAACTTTAGTAGTTTTTTCCAAAGTTCTTGAAGAAAGCATTGGTAGCCCTTGATGGGGTGGCATTGAATCTATAAAGGCTTAGCCTTGGGGCCAGTATGGGCCATTTTGCACAATATGTTTCTTTCTATGCCATGAGCATGGAATGTTCCTTCCATTCTGTGTCCTCTTTATTCATTGAGGCACTGTGTTTGTAGTTCTCCTTCGAAAGGTCCTTCGCATTCTTTGTAAAGTTGGATCCTAGGTAGTCTTTTAATTCTCTTTTTAAAACAAAAACAAGAAAGCCCAATTGTGAATTGGGAGTTCACCTCATGATTTTTGGCTCTCCGTTTTGCTCCTGTTATCTTGGTGTATATGAATGCTTGTGACTTTTTGCATTGAATTTTGTATCCTGAGATTTTGCTGAATTTGCTTACGAGCTTTACAGAAAATTTTGGCCTGAGATGATGGGGTTTCTAAATATACAATTGTGTCATCTGGCAAACAGGACCAGTTTTGACCTGCCCTTTTCCTTAACTGAATACCAGCCTTTAATTCGATCCTTCTCTCTTACTTATTGGCCCTGGCCAGAACTTCGCAAGACTATGTTGGAATACGTAGCTGGTGAAGCGAGAGGAGCATCCCCTGTTCTTGTGCGCAGTTTTCAAAGGGAATGCTTCCAAGTTTTTGCCGCATTCAGTATGATCATTGGCTGCTGGGTTTGTCATAAATCTCTTATTATTTGAGAATACGCTCCCATCAAACTACCCAAGTTTATTGGTGTTTTGCATCGAAGGCGGCCCTGGTTGAAAATTTTTTGAGCGGACTTTTCTGCGCATATTTCGAGAAGTATCATGTGGTTTTTTGTCCTTTGTTCTGTTTACATGATGGATTACAATTGTATTGATTTGTTATTTGAAACGCAGCCTTGCATCCAGGGATGAAGGCCAACCTCGTCATGGTAGCGTAAGCTTTTTGATGTGGGCTAACTGGATCGGTTTGCGCAGTAATTATTGCTGAGGATTTTGCCCATCGATGTTCATCGGGGATATTGGTCTAAAATTCTCTTTTTTTGTTGTATCTCTGTCAGGCTTTAGTATTAGGATGATGTTGGCCTCATAAAATGAATTAGGGAGCATTTCCTCTTTTTCTATTGATTGGAATAGTTTCAGAAGGAATGGTACCAGCTCCTCCTTGTACCTCTGGTAGGATTCGGCTGTGAATCTGTCTGGTCCTGGACTTTTTTTGGTTGGAAGGCTATTAATTATTGACTCAATTTCAGAACCAGTTATTGGTCTATTCAGGGATTCAACTTCTTCTTGGTTTAGTCTTGGGAGGGTATATGTGTCCAGGAATTTATCCATTTCTTCTAGTTTTCTAGTTTATCTGCATAGGAGGTGTTTATAGTATTCTCTGATGGTAGTTTGTATTTCTGTGGATCAGGTGGTGATGTCCCCTTTATTCATAATTTTTTATTGTTGATGTATTTGATTCTTCTCCTTTTCTCTTTAATTAGTCTGCTATAGTCTATCGAATTTTGTTGATTCTTTTCAAAAAACCAGGGCTCCTGGATTCATTGATTTTGGAAGGGTTTTTGTGTCTCTATCTCCTTCAGTTCTGGCTCTGGATCTTAGTTCCCACACAATAGTAATGAGACTTAACCCAACGCCCCACTGTCAACATAGACAGATCAATGAGACAGAGTTTAACTCAAGGACACCCAGGAGTTGGACCTCCAGTGGCGGCACAAGGTCAGACTAATAGCATCTACAGAATCTCCACCCCAAATCAACGAATATACCCCCCATTTTTTTTTCTTCTCGCACCACCACATCGCACTTATTCCAAAATTTGACCACATAGTTGGATAGTAAGCCACTCCTCAGGCAAATGTAAGAACAGAAAATAACACTGTCTCTTCAGCACAGTTGCGTCAATAGGACTCAGGATAAAGGAAACTCACTCAAAACAGGGGCTCAACTATATGGAAACTGAACAACTGGCTCCTGAATTGACACTGTGGGTACATTAACAAAATGAAGGCAGAAGTTAAAGATTGTTCTTCGAACAATGAGAACAAAGACACAACATACCAGAATCTCTGGGACACATTTAAAGCAGTGTGTAGAGGGAAATTTATAGCACTAAATGTCCACAAGAGAAAGCAGGAAAGATCTAAAATTGGCACCCTAACATCACAATTAAAAGAACTAGAGAAGCAAGAGCAAACACATTTAAAAGCTAGCAGAAGGCAAGAAATAACTAAGATCAGTCCCATTGCTTTTCAATAGCTCCACTTGAGAGCCCCTCTAGCTCCTCACACTTTCCATGTCCAAAATAGGATTTCTTCATCTCTTCCTTACACAGCATGTCTTTCTGCTCACCCTGTCTCTGAATGCACTAGTTCCTACCCATTTGTTCAAGCCGGACATTTCTACCTGACTCATCTTACCTCTTGTCACTCTGTCAAGTGAGCAATGGTCTCAGCCACATGTGACTGTACTTAGAGTGTACCAACTCAGCCGTGTTCTTTCAGCCTTACTTTGCACTTGTAGAGTCCTAGCTGTTTCACCACGGGGCTTGCTAAGAATGTAATGAGGCCTCTCTGCTTTTTAGTTTCCATATCTGTAAAATAAGATCATTGGAGTGGGTGTTCCCTAAGAGCCTTTCGAGCTCTGAAGTCCTATAATTCTGGATGTGTTTCTACATCTCAATTTTTCATCACAGCTTATATTCAGTTTTAAGGAGTTATAATTGTTATTATTTCCTCTTGTCTGTCTTCATGTTTTCTCATAGGTTTTAAAATAACTTCATTGAGACATAACTCATATGCCATACAACTTACTTATTTAAAGGGTACAACAGTGTACAAGTTAATGGTTTTTCGTATAGTCACTGAGTTGTGCAACTACCACTGTAGTCAATTGTAGAACGTTTTCATGACTCCAAAAGAAAACCCTCTCAGCATCCATTCTCCAATTCTCTGTCACCCGCAAACCGAGGCAACCAATAATCTACTTTCTGTCACTATGGATTTGTCTATTCTGGACATTTCCTGTAAATGAAATCATATAATATATGGTCTTTTGTGATGGTCTTCTTACACTTAGCACAGAAGAACTACTGTTTTCAAGGTTTATCCATATGGTAGCCTGTGTCAGTACTTCATTCGTTTTGCTGGCTGAATAATATTTCATTATAGGGACATATCATATTTTATCCATTCATCAGACAATGGACATTTGAATTGTCTTCACCTTTTGGGTATTATAAATAATGCTGCCATGAACATTCATGTGCAAGTTTTTGTGTGGACTTTATTTATTTATTTATTTATTTATTTTTTGAGACGGAGTCTCCCTCTGTTGCCCAGGCTGGAGTGCAACCTGGAGAGGTTGGTTCACTCCAACCTCTGCCTTCTGGGTTCAAGCAATTCTCCTCCCTTATTCTCACAAGTAGCTGAGATTACAGGCACCCACCACCATGCCTGGCCATTTATTATTATTATTATTATTATTATTATTATTTTTAGTAGAGACGGGTTTCACCATGTTGGCCAGGCTGGTCTCGAACTCTTGACCTCAGGTGATCCACTGCCTTGGCCTTCCAGAGTGCTGGGATTACAAGCATGAGGCCCCATGCCAGACCTGGATTTATATTTTAATTTCTCTTGAGTATATTCCTAGGAGTGAAATTGCTGGGCTAAATGGTAAATCTGTTTAACTTTTTGAGGAACTATTGGACTATTTCCAAAGTAGCTGCACCATTTTTCATTCCCATGAGTGATGCATGAGGGTTCCAATTTCTCTCAATGCTTGTTTTTGTGTATTTTTAATTATCTCCATCTTAGTAGGTGTGAAGTCGTATCTCATTGCGGCTTTGATTTGGATTTCCCCCAAAGCAAATGATGTTGAACATCTTTTCACATGTCTACACAGGTTTTTAATCTGGTATAGGATTCAGGGTTCTGGAAAAGGCCAGTGCTAATCCTAAGGGGAGAAGTTCATTTCTGGAGAAATAGTGTTTGTGTCCAACATCAAGCTTGTTAATTTCCTACTCTGTGCTGCCAGATCTTCTATGGCTTATAATTCCTGGTCTAATAAATTTTGTGTTTTTATAATTTGGTCTTCTGTTTAAGACCACAACCCAGCAATTTCTTCATCATTTTGTTTAGCTTTGTTTCTATTTTAAAAGCAATATAACTTAACACTTATAGTAATACCAAGAGTGCACCTACTTCGACATGAACTGCCATGATACATAGTTCACACACACAGAGAGTGAGAACTACATGACGGTGCCGCCTGTGGCTAACGGTGACTGTTAAGAGGCACTCCAACCAACTTCAGAGATGTGAAAATATGAAAAAGTATGTCAGCATCTTTTAAGAGTTACATATTTCATCACATAGATGCACCATTTACCTTCACCATTCCCTTGAGCTTGGACATTTATTTCAAGCAAGCAAGAAAATAGGAAATAATAATAATTGCTTACCTGCCACAATGTAGGCACTCTCATATTAAGAAAAGAGTTAAGTATTTCCTCCAATTCTTGGGTGAGGATGATCTCTCCTTTTATAGCAAGTTGAAGATCTTTTAAGGATTTATGTATGACAAATAATAACTTATCAAATCGTTTAATTTCTTGCTTCAAAAAGGTTAGCAAGACACAATGGATAAGGGGGTCATGATCTGGATTTTAAAAAGAGATAAAATTTTGATATTTTATAGATTAAAAAGAGGCTTTACATGGAGAGACTTAGGCTTTGAAAGTTAAGGGAATTTCATGTATCTTGACCAGGGATTGATAAACGTTTTCTGTAGAAGGTCAGATAGCAAACATTTTAGGGTATGGGGACCATACCACCTCTGAAAGCTACTTGACTCTCCCCTTGCGGTGTGGGTGCAGCCACACTGTATACTGGTATAACCACACTATCTACTATGTGTGGATGCATAGACAGTATGTCATGAGTAAGTGTGGCTGAGTTCCAGTAAGTTTTATTTATGGGCACTCAAATTTGAATTTCACATAACATTTATGTGTCACAAACTATATTTCTTCTTTTGATTTTTTTCAACCATTAAAAAAATGCAAAAGTCATTTTAGTTCACAGGCTGTACAAAAACAAATGCTAGGCTGGACTTGGCCTGTGAGTCCTAATTTGCCGACCTTTGATTGAGACTCAACAATAATACTGTTTTGATAGACTATTGCTCAATATTTGGTTCCCAAATAAACTTCTGCAAAGGGATAAAATATGGATATTAAAATTTAACTAGGAAAATTATCATAGTCCAGCAATTTAGCCCCTTAGAGCTGGGTTTGGAGCCATCTCTGAGCAACCAGGCTTCCTCTGTCTTCCTGGGCCTGCCCTGATTCCCCTTAGCTTCTGAGTCAAGTGGTCTTTCAGCAGAAGGTCCATCTAAACCTCTGCTGTTCCAGAAGGCAGATAGGCAGAGAGACCAGGCACCTAAGAGCTCTTGAGAATCTCCCAAGCAGAGTTGCTGCTTTCTGGTTTGCTACACTTATTATTTCTTCACTTTTGATTTCAGTGCCACACACTACCCACCCCCAAACTAAAGCATGATTTTCTTCTGTGCTCTCTGTTTTTCAACTTGGAGAGAGGAGGCAGAGACTGAATTTTCCATCTTATCTCAGTCTTTTCATTTCTATGGAATTTTTGTCCTATCTTTACCTTACTCCTGATGCCAGAGTAAGTTTACCTTACTCCTGATGCCTTACTCCTGTCCCATGCTCACCTTCGAGATTTTTAGAAAGAGACTCCCAAATGGAGCTTGACATCATGCTCTTCAATGTGCTTGGAGTTCCAACAGCACTTTCTTCTTTCTCCACTGTCAATGGCAGCCGCTTTAGCAAGTCGGATAGAATTTCCATCACCAGTTCATCCTTACTCTGCTCAGGTCTGCAAAAGAAACCAAGAAAAGAATGAGACACAGAACAGGAAGAGGGAGATGGGGAGAGATTTGTTAAAGGATTCAAGATTACTGGTAGACAGGAGGGATAAGTTTAGTGTTCTATACCACTGTAGGATGACTATAGTTAACAAAAATAGATTATACATCTTCAACTAGCTAGAAGAGAGGATACTGAAAGTTCCCAACACAAAGGATAAATGTTTGAGCTGATGGACATGTGAATTGCCCTGATCTGATCACTATACATTGTATGTATTGAAACATCACTATGTACCCCAGAAATATGTACAATTATTATGTCAATTAAAAAAATAAAAATTGGCCGGGCGCAGTGGCTCATGCCTGTAATACCTGCATTTTGGGAGGCCGAGGTAGGCAGATCACTTGAGGTCAGGAGTTTGAGACCAGCCTGGCCAACATGGTAAAACCCTGTCTGTACTAAAAATACAAAAATTAGCCAGGCATGGTGGGCACCTGTAGTCCGAGCTATCAGGATGCTGAGGCATAAGAATCACTTGAACTCGGGAGGCGGAGGTTGCAATGAGCCAAGGTCGTGCCACTGCACAATAATTATATTTCTATATATTAGAAATGAACTTCAGAAAAAAAAAAAAAAAAAAAAGGAAAGGAAAATAAAAGAAATCAAGAGAATGACAAGCTACAGATCTATCTAATGTTAGAGGGCCCTCTGCTTAAATTCCATCTGAAGATAAACGTATCTTCACAGAACCGCAAAACTATACTATGGTATAGTTACAGAGACCATGGAATTCATTTTACAGATGAGAAACTGTCCAATATATTTTAGACATTTGCAAGGAAATATGTATTATAAAAGCTTTGTTAGGATTTCTTTGTAAAATAATCATCTGAATGCATCTGCAAGACAATGAAAAAGAGGAGGCAACTAAACAGAGCATGCTGAAGCAGCTGCATGGAGGATCCCACTGCTTGCCCCATTCCTGTGTTGACATGAAGGGCTTCTTAATCACACAGTCCGTGGGTGGTGACAGGGGGAGTGTGTGTCCAGGCCTAGGTGAGGCTGCAATACTACACAAAACCACTAAACACTAGGGCTGGAAGAGCTCTTTGGAATCCTTTTAAAGATGATGAAACCAGGGCCCAGGAAAGAGGGAGGACTTCCTTAGTTAGTGGATGAGTAGGAAATGGGGCACATCTCTTTCGAATTCCCTCTCTCTGTTGTTCTGTTTACTAGTAGGGACTGATTTTTCTTTTTCTTTTCTTTTTTTTTGAGACGGAGTTTTGCTCTATCGCCCCGGCTGGAGTGCAGTGGTTCAATCTCGGCTCACAGCAACCTCTGCCTCCCGGGTTCAAGCAATTCTCTGCCTCAGCCCCCGAGTAGCTGGGATTATAGGTGCCCACCACCATGCCGGCTAATTTTTTTGTATTTTTAGTAGAGACGGGGTTTTACCATCTTGGCCAGGCTTATCTTGAACTCCTGACCTCATGATCCACCTGTCTCGGCCTCGCAAAGTGCTGGGATTACAGGTGTGAGCTACTGTGCCCAGCCAGGACTAATTTTTTAACAAACACTCCAGGTTTCACAGTGAAATGAATGTCAACCTTCAAGATGAGCAATAACCTTAAAGCTGCCATGAAGTATTTAGTCTAACAGCGCTGCTTTGGTACCAGTTTACAGAACACTTGAGGTCACATGGCTCCTTACTTTGTCATCATACTGTTTTGACTTTAAAGTTGATTTTCTCCATAGAATTCAATCCAGGTGGCTTCAAATAATTCAAAAGGTCAAAAGGTGTCAAAAATCAAACTTACCTTCAGAAGGCAAAGATTTGCTACCCCTAAGGAAATTACATTGAATATGATAGATTTTTGAATTAAGTCCCACAGACAAGTCTCTAATAAGCAAAGGCAGCAAGATTGGGATAATTATAGCCTCTCAAAGTGACCAAAGGGACATTAATAAACATATCTAGTATGTTTATTAAAAGCATTTCCTTATAATATGTTGATATCTTAAATATTTGCAATGTTTAAGAGAATTGGGCCTTGTAATACCTTGTGTTAGATTGGGGTCAGTCTTGTGACCCTGATTAAAAGAGATAATTGAGAAACTGATTTATGATTTTAGGTTGAAATCTCATTAGATTGATATATAATATTAGGGAATAAGAGAATTTAAGATTCACCACATTTATTTGATTATTAGATTTATAAAAGTTACTCAAAGATTTGAGAAGGTCTGGCAGACAAATTGAAGTACATTAACTTTATAATGAATATTAATATATTTGAAAATGTTTGATTAAGTTTATAAATGGGAGCAAACATTCAAATATCTTTTAAAAGTGTTAAAATTTGTTAAAAATTGAAAAATTAGAACTTAAATACATAAGGAACTAATTGAAGTAGAATTTAGTTTCTTTACCATGTAGACTATACTTTTCTACATATCTCTTCAAATGAATTTTTTTTTTTGAGACAGGGTCTCAGCCTCCCAAGTTCTGGGACTACAGGTGCTCACCACTACACTCGGCTAATTTTTGTATTATTTGTAGAGACGGGGTTTCACCATGTTGCTCAGGCTGGTCTGGAACTCCTGAGCTCAAGCAATCTTTCCCCCTCAGCCTCCCAAGGTGCTGGGATATAGGTGTGAACCGCCAGACCCAGCCTGATAATTTTTGACCAACAGTTTTTCTTAGCGAGTTCTTACCTGATCCTGAGGTTGGCAGTGGTAGTTTTTGGTTGCATGGCAATCAGATTTTCAATAAACTCTTCGCCTTGGGTCTCCCAGCAGCTCCTGATGGCCTCTGGGTGTATTCCTAAGACCTCGGGAGGGTCGTCATCAGGTAAGGACTGGATAATGTGTATGTAGTCCTTTATGCTTGCAGATCCTGGAACTGGCTGACATATCTGAAAATTTAACCATTTTGTTAGCTTTTTTCTTCAATCCTGCTACTTCTGAACACTTTGTTAGTTTTTGCCAGAATAAGATATCTACTTTCAGTAATGCTTGAAGGCAATATTTTCCCATGAAATTTTATACCGAAGGCTTTTTTATTGCATGTTGTATATTCTAGACACTGTAGAAAGCAACATCTGGGACTACTGTATTGTAATGTGCATATGATATGCATGTATAACTTTCTTGTTGGGAAAAGAGAGAAAGAAAAAAAAAACACTTTAAAGGTGAGGGTGATTCTGACCACCCATAGATAATGAATGCAATTAAGGCTTGAACAAATCATTTTACTTTAGTAAAACCTATAGAAGGAATGTGAGAATGATCTTAAGAATAACTGATCACTGACCAAGAAGAGAAATGCATTGTTCATATAGTCAGGAAAGTGGGTAATGGTGGCTTTCTTGATATCATTAAGTAAAATGTTGAAGAATTAATAAAGGTCAGAGGGAAAAATCAAATAACAGTCACTGATAAAAAAAATTACCTGCAGAAGAAGCAAGATTATGGCAAAAAACAGGAAGAGTTGGCAAGCTGAAACTGTCATAAAATTCCCAGTGTTTTAAAGCAACTGAACAGTTGAAATATAAATTTCAGAATACATTTCTGTCATGTGATATAATTCTGCCAATGCAATTGTATACTGTATGTTATAGTATACCTTATTCTCTTAGTGCATACTTAATGTAATAGTGTGTACGAAACCATGCACATTGTATTCTTTGGGCAATTTAAAGAACCCTAAACTTTTTTTTTTTTTTGAGATGGAGTCTTACTCTATCACCCATGATCTCGGTTCACTTCAACCTCTGCTTCACAAATTCAAGTGATTCTCATGCCTCAGCCTCCCAAGTAGCTGGGATTACAGGCATGAGTCACCATGCCTGGCTAATTTTTGTATTTTTAGTATAGATGGGGTCTCACCATGTTGGCCAGGCTGGTCTTGAACTCCTGACTTCAAGTGATCTACTCTCCTCGGCCTCCCAAAGTGCTAGGATTATAGGTATGAGCCACCACACTTGGCCAAAGAACCCTAAATTTAACTAAAATGTTATTTGAAACAGTTTATTTTTTCTTTTTTTTCAGACAGGATCTTGCTCTGTTGCCCAGGATGGAATGCAGTGGTGTGATCATGGCTCACTGCAATCTCCACCTCCTGGGTTCAGATGATTCTCAGGCCTCAGTCTCTTAAGTAGCTGGGACTACAGGTGCACACCATCACACCTGGCTAATTTTTGTATTTTTAGTAGGGATGAGGGTTTCACCATGTTGACCAGGCTGCTCTCGAACTCCTGGCTTCAAGTGGTCCACCTGCCTCAGCTTCCCAAAGTGCTGGGATTACAGGCATGAGCCACTGCACCCGGCCTTAAGACGTTTGTTTGTTTGTTTGTTTAGATGGAAATCTTAAAAAAAAAAAAAAGCTCTCATAGATTTTTCTTCCTTAGCAAATAGTGCATAAACGACATAATTTAATGCCTTCTTGTTGACTCAAGGTCATCAACATAGACCATTGCTATCCATTCTATAGATGCCTTACGAATGAATCTCCCTAAAATATTTTTACTATTTTCTTTATCTATCCATATCCTCAAGACCCCAGACAGACAACCTGGGTATGACCTCTCTTTCTCTTGATTATACCAACTCACAATGATCACCCACAGCTGTCGTCTTCCTTTTCATCTTCCATTCACCTCTCTCATCCAAATTCCCACCCATCAAAGTTTATGTCAAGTCCAACCCTCCACAGTCTAAGGTCAGAGGTCTGTAGGATTCTTTCCTCTGCTAGCAGCCACTCAACAGGCACACACAGTTGCTGGTGTCTAATATAGAGTTTTCTGCTCCACAAATGTGAAGGTTTGGATAGAGGATAAAAACTGAGGGGGAGAAGAGGGGATAAAGAACAAGAGATGTGGGATTTCTGTAAACTGACAACAGCATCTATTCCCTATGGTTATTTTGAGCATTAAATGAGAAACATATATCAAGTGACTGGCATGGAATCGTTGATTTATAAATGTTAGCTCTCTTGTGCTTTGTATCTTACACTTTGGGTTCTCAGAGGACATGAACTATTTTTAAATCATTCTTTTTGTTTACTGCCCTGCACAATGTTATATTTAATACAGTCATGGGTAAATTACTTTTATAATACTGAAAGCTAATAAAAACCTTTAAAAATGAACATCAAAATTCATTTAAATATGTATTTTAAATAATGCAACAATGTTTACTTTAAAATTATTGAGAAATGCAAGAAGATTAATTCTTTTCCTACCCCATCACTGGAGAAACTGAAGTCATCTTTCAGCACTTCAGGATTACAAAATTTGTAGAGCAGGGTCTTCAAGCATCGCTTGTCCCAATTATCAATTACCCGGCCACCGTAAATCACTTCTCCAATCAGGTAGCGCAGTGCTTGCCATGAAATACTGGGCTGTCCTCTTAGGGAATTTTCCAACACCTTAATGGCAACCTTTAGAAAACCCATGAGTCTTTATTATTTCGATATGTGTTTCCAGCTTACTCACTCTGACTTTTTAACATAAAATCAACTCTCAAACAGCTACATATATTTTCTTTTTAAAAAATTTATAGAAATAGGCTAGGCACAGTGGCTCACGCCTGTAATCCCAGCACTTTGGGAGGCCAAGGCAGGCGCATCATTTGAGGTCAGGAGTTTGAGACCAGCCTGACCAACATGGTGAAACCCCATCTCTACTAAAAATACAAAAATTAGCTGGGCATGGTGGCGGGTGCCTGTAATCCTAGCTACTTGGGAAGCTGAGGCAGGAGAATAACTTGAACCCAGGACATAGGGGGTCACAGTCAGCTGAGATCATGCTACTGCACTCCAGCCTGGGTGACAGAGCGAGACTCCGTCTCAAAAGAAGAAGAAGAAGAAGAAGAAGAAGAAGAAAAAAATATATATATAGACAAATATTATATTTTATTACATATATTTCATTTGTCTTACTAGAATAGTTTATATTTACTAGAATAGAGTGTGTGTGTGCATATATATATAAATATATATATATAGAGTAAGACACAAATATTGAGACATACACCTTTTTTTTGAGACAGGGTCTCACTTTGTTGCCCAGGCTGGAGTGCAGTGGCCTGATCTTGGCTCACTGCATCCTTGACCTCTCCAGCTAAAGTGAACCTCCCACCTCAGCTTTTTTCCTCAGCCTCCCTGCCTGGCTAATTTTTGTATTTTTTTGTAGAGACGGGCTTTCACCATGTTGCCCAAGCTGGTCTTGAACTCCTGGGCTCAAGTGATCCATCTGCCTTGGCCTCCCAAGGTGCTGAGATTACAGGCGTGAGGCACCTGCCTGCGCTGGTACATTCACATTTATCCACTAGTTCTTTTTGGTTATTGTTGAATAGGCATTGAGCTATTTAATTGCTGTTATTTGTTTGAATAGGCAAAGCAGGCACTGAATTCAAAAAGCGCAAAAAGGTAAACAAGATAAAGTAAGATTTCTTCCACTCCCGACTTTAGCCGTCAGATCCTCTCCCTTGAGGGCACCATTGACAGAATTCTTGTGTATTCTTACAGAGACGTTCTATTTGCACATAGGTTGACTTCTTCTCTTCTCTCTCCGTCCTTTGCTTCCCCTCTCCCTTCTTTCTATCCTCCTTGTGCTCTTCAACTATTTCTCATCTCCGCCTCCCTTTCCTCTCCCCTTTCCTTCCTTCCTTCCGTTCCTCCCTCCCTTCCTTCCTCCCTTCCTTTTTTCCTTCCTCCCTCCCTTCCTCCCTCCCTTCCTCCCTTCTTTCTTTTCTTTCTTGGCGGAGTCTCGCTCTGTCGCCCAGGCTGGAGTACAGTGGCGCGATCTCAGCTCACTGCAACCTCCACCTCCCGGGTTCAAGCGGTACTCCTGCCTCAGCCTCCCGTGTTAGCCAGGATGGTCTCGATCTCCTGAACTTGTGATCCGGCGGCCTTGGCCTCCTAAAGTGCTGGGATTACAGGCGTGAGCCACTGCGCCCGGCCCTCCTCTCCCCCTTTCTTTCTGTTTTCCTGTCTTTTCCCCGCCACAAATACTAGTTTAGCATACACACTGTGCCGCAATTGGACAATATATTTCGGTTATCAATGTTCAGTGGCTGTAACAATTCATATTTACACTAACAGTGTGTGAAGGAATTTCTTTGTCACTGTTCTCTCATCCCTGCCACTAACAGGAAATGTTGGTTTATTTAATTTTTGCCAGTCTCATGGGCGGTACATTTGCTGTTAGTTTAATTTGTATTTCACCTAGTACTGGTTATTTTGAGCATCTTTTCTTATGTCCATTGGTCATTTAAATACAATTCTCTGTACACCGCCTATTTTTCCTTTGGCTTGTTTGTCTTTTTCTTGTTAATAGATAAGAGCTCTTTGTATATCACAGATATTAACTCTCTGTCAGTCATTTTCGTTATCCTAAATCTGGCGTTTGTCCATTGACTTTATTTTGCCACCATTTGCCATATAAAAGTTTTTTGTAATTAAATATGCCTATCTCTTCTTTTATGGTTCTGGGTTTTCAATTAGGGTTACTTGTTCCCAACTCCAAGATTGTATATGTAATCTCCTAGATTTATTTTGGTTATTTATATTGTTATACATTTAAATTTTATTCCATTCTGGAATTTATTTTTATATAGGATATAAGATAAAGGAACCAGTAATTTTCTTCCAACTAGATGGCCAGTCATGCCAGTATCATTTACTTTTTGAAAATTCCTTTTTCCTGAGTTGAAATATTACCTGTGTCAAATGTTAAAATCTCATAAAAACTTAGATTTCTGCACTCTCAACTATGTCTCACCGATTTATTGTCTACTTCTCTGCCAAACAATCTTGATTTTAGTATAGTGGATTTTTACCATGTTTTCATATCTGGTGAAGGAAAACCCCTTCAGGATTTTTCTTTTTTGTACATTTCTAGCTTATTCTTCAGCATCTGTTCTTCCATATGAATTTTATTAATTCCAAAACTTCTCTAATAGGATTTTAATTGGAACTGCAGTATATTTGATTATTAATTTTGGAAGAATTGATAGTTAGGATATGGGAAGTCTTCCCATAAAGAACATTGATGCATTTATTTAGGGGAGGCAGGATTAAAAAATGAACTGTGGAATCAGACTTCCAGTTATTACCTATGTAACTTGGGCAGGTTTCTTAGGTGGCCTGTGCATCTATATCCCTATCTGTAAAATGAGGATAATTAGTGTTCTTACCTCATAATGTTTTTGTGGGAATTAAATAATTCGGATAAAGCAATCCAAATATTTTAAGCTCTCAACAAATGTTATGCCTCTCTTTTCTCTTTAATTTATGCTACTCCTTATTTAGGACCCATACGTTTCATGTTAAATTTATTCCTCAGTATTTAAATATTTTCGTCACTGCTGTGAAAGTAACGTTTTGCCTACTTCCATTCCTGGGTGTTTATTACCAGGGAGGCTTTATTGATCTTTACATCTTTACATTTTTATCCAGTTACATTACAAAATTCTCTAATTACTAGATTTTGTTTTACTAGTATCTTAGGTTTTCTAGATGTACAATTATATAATCAATAAAAAGATAGTTTTTTCTCTTTTTACAATGTTAATATGAATTATTATAATTTTCTTATCTCATTGCATTCACTAGAAATTCTAAGACACTGTTGAATTACAGTGGTAATAATGGGCATCCTTATCTAATTCTTGATTTTATTTGAAACAATTTCAGTGTTTGACTATGTGGAACATGTGGACATTGTTGTTTTTAGGTAGTCTTTTTCATATTTAAGTGGTTTCTTTTAATCCTATTACTTTAGGTTTTTACTAGAAATGGCTCCAAAATTCATAACAAATGCCTCTTCTACATCTACTGAGATGATCATATAAATTAGGATTACAAATTTCCAGTTACTGGGTCATTCTTGCATTAGTGGAATAAAACCAACTTGGTTACAGTGTATTACTCTTTTGTTTCATTGCTGAAATCAACTTATGTTTTATGTAGAATCTTTACATCTCAAGTCCTGAGTGAAATTAATCTACAGTTCTTATGTATATTATTAATATCTTTATCAGGTATTCATATTAACATTATGTTGCTTCATAAAATAAACTGGGGAGATTGTGATCTTTTACTAAGGTCTAGAATATATAATATTAATACTATCTATTTCTTAACGTTCAGAGTGAATTAAGCTGTAAAACCATCTCATTCTGGTGTCATTTGCAATGTCTTTTGTGGCAATTGGCCTAACCAAAATTTCAGTTTCTCTTTGAGTCAATTTTGATAATTCGTATTTTCTAGGAAATCATTGGCTTCATCTAGATTTTCAAATTTTATGTCTTATCAAAATCCAATTTTTTATAGCTATAAGCTTTAAAAAATATATGAAAAGAATTTTAAAAATCCAATTTCAAAATTTATAAAGAATTTCTTTATTAGCTTTTATTTTCTTTTGTTTTCTAATTTCTTAAGATGGATATTTATTTCCTGTATGTTTTCTTTAATAGTGGAGACATTTAAGGCCAAACATTTTTTTTTCCTAACTACAGCTTTTGTTCTGTCATGTAATTTTTGGTCTGAAGTAGTCTCATTTCCATTGTGTTTGAGATATTTGTGATTTTATTTATTTTTATTTTTTGAGACAGGGTGTCGCTCTGTCACCCAGGCTGGAGTGTAGTGGCCCAAACACGGCTTACTGCAGCCTCAACCTCCTGGGCTCAAGTGGTCCTCCTGCCTCAGCCTCCCAAGTGCCTGGGAGTACAGGCATGCCACCTGGCTTTTTTTTTTTTTTTTTTTCCAGACGGGGCTTTCTATGTTGCACAACCTGTGATTTCCCCTGTTTTTGTTTGTTTGTTTGTTTGTTTTTTGTTTTTGAGACAGAGTTTCATTCTGTTACCCAGGCTGGAGTGCAGTGCTGCGATCTCAGCTCACCGCAACCTCCACCTCCTGGGTTCAAGCAATTCTCCTGCCTCCTGAGTAGCTGGGATTACAGGCATGTGCCACCATGCCCGACTAATTTTTATTTTTAGTAGAGATGGGGTTACTCTATGTTGGTCAGGCTGGTTTCGAACTCGCGACCTTAGGTGATCCAACCGCCTCGGCCTCCCAAAGCTCTCGGATTACAGGCATGAGCCACCGCGCGGGTTTCATCATGTTGACCAGGCTGGTCTTGAACTCCTGACCTCAGGTGATCCACCCACCTTACCCTCCCAAAGTGCTGAGATTACAGCTGTGAGCCACTGAGCCTGGCTGATTTCTCTTTTAATATCCTATTTGATAAAAGGTTATCTGGAGTTATGTTTCTTAATATCTAAGAAGTTAAGATTTTTAGGGGTCAAATTTTTATTATATTAAATTGTGTTCAGATAATGTGGCCCATAAAATCATTAAAGGTTTTTCTTCGTGGCCATGCTCATGATTGAGTTGTGTAACAGTTCCTTGGATACCTGAAAAAATATGTACTCTTTATTAGAGGGATGCTAGTCTCTTGATCCATCTGTTAATCAAATTTATTGACTACATTATTCTATTCTTTGTCTTATTTTTGCTTATTAGAGCTGTACAATCCTGATGGTGGTTTTTTGAAATTTCCCACAATAATTGCATATACATATATACATATATATGTACATGTATACCTGTGTATATATATGTATGTGTATATATATATGCTACAATATGCTGTTGTCTGAAGAATACAGCACTCTCAGTCATTACATTCTGACTGATATTAATATTGCCATTTCTGCTTTCTTCTGTTATTTTCTTGATAGTTTCAAAATTTCTTCATTAATTTCACTTTTTCTTATAAATTGCATATTCCTGGGTTTTGTTTTGTAACCCGATTTAATAGTCTTGCCTTTTATTGAGAGAATGCAGTCCATTTACACTCGATATAATGACTGATAACATTCCTTCCATATTGCTTTATGTTATTATTTTGCTTTGTTTTTTCTCTCCCTTTTATTTTGATATCTTGATCAAATTGTTATTTATTTTCCTTTTTTTCTTTGTTAATTTAGACATTATACTGTTTCTATTAAAGGTGACTTTTCTTTTCTTTGAATTCATTTTCTTATTTAAATAAAAATATCAATTCTTTACAGTAGACACCAACATGTCTAATATATGGTTCAAATATTTCCCCCTAATATATTATTTGCCTTTTGATTGAGCTTTGAATAAGGCCTTGACAGAAGGGTGTTTGAGCTTGTACTTTTAAATCAATATCCCAAATGCAGTGTTTTATGTTGTATTCCTGGTTAGGTACAGAAGTATTATGTCTGACAGGCAGTTGAACTTGCAGTAAATATGAAATCCTCTTTTCAAAACTGAAAAAAGCCTAATAGAAACATATAGAAGACAAAGAAGGCTACCCATCCAGAGTGGGTTTAGGTTATAAATATCCAGAGGCAGAATCAAGATTTTCCTCAGAAAGTTTTTTTTTTTTTTTTTAAATTGCTGTAATATATAAATGAATGGGTAATCAAGGGTGTAATGTTGTACACTGGAAGCACAATTGCAAGAAAGTTAACCTGGGAAAAATTTAAGCAGATGCTACCACGTGTTTATTTTAGCAATAAAGAAAACACCCTGCAATAAACAACAAACAGAAGGTTCTATATAGAGAATAGTAAAGAAAGACGATTGAGCTAAATTTTTCCCCAAACAATGGGTCAATGCAATCTCTCTTGCTTTAAATGAGTAAGTCATACTAACAAACAAACATTTTTATAGTAAATTATGTCTGTCAGGCACTCTTCTATGTGCCTGACATGTCTAATATATGGTTCAAATGTTTCCCCCTAATATATTATTTGCCTTTTGATTGAGCTTTGTACTTACATTAACAAGTTTGCCTATAATTATATAATGATCCTCTGGAGTCAGTACTGACATTTGGTCTCCCCCAGTTTGCTTTCTTTGGCCAAGGAAACTAAGACTCTGAGAGGTTAGTTTGCCCAATAGATTACATACTTGTACAGCTGTAAGTTGTGGAGCTGCAATTTAATTCAGAAAAACTGGCATCAAAGACCATGTTTCTTTCTTTTTTTTTTTTGAGGTGGAGTCTCCCTCTGTCGCCCAGGCTGGAGTGCAGTGGTGCGATCTCGGCTCACTGCAAGCTCTGCCTCCCAGGTTCAGGCCATTCTCCTGCCTCAGCCTCCCGAGTAGCTGGGACTACAGGTTGCCTGCCACCACATCCGGCTAATTTTTTGTATTTTTAATAGAGACGAGGTTTCACCATGTTAGCCAGGATGGTCTCGATCTCCTGACCTCGTGATCCACCCGCCTCGGCCTCCCAAAGTGCTGGGATTACAGGCGTGAGTCACCGCGCCCGGCCCACAGACCATGTTTCTAAACGTTAGCCCTTATTGCCTAGTTATAGAGTTCATTTTCTTACCACCATGTAAAACACTTAGTATTTGTGTAGGCACATAGTAGGCTCTCAGTTTGTATCTTATTGTTATTTATTTGTTGTTTGTTTTGAAGAGACTACACTTACCCCCAAGTCTGAAGAATTAAATTTATAAGCAATATTCCAGCCCAATATTCCATAACTTTTTCTCTCATTGATCACAGCATTGAAAAAACATAGGCTAAATAAAAGTTTTTTCCACCATTGTCCACAGTCAGGATTTTCAAATATCTCTTCTGTTACCTCTCCACTCCCAGTACATCCAAATGTCTGAAGTAAATTACTTTTCAATCCCTGGGGAGATTCCATGGCAATCTTGAAAACAGATGTGAGTAAAATGGCATGTGAGGACAGATGCAGGCACTGGTCTATAGGGCACTTGTCTTTCTACAACACTGGTAAAAGAACTAGGCAAGAATGTAACTATTTTCAAGACTCACTGGCAAATCCAAAATCTCGTGTTATTCTTTTGCCATGTAAAAACGTCTCTAAAAGGATTGTCCCAGATTTTCTATTGCTCCAATTCGTATTTTGAAATGGGAAGTATAATGTTGTGATTAAAAGCACTCTTATTTGCTCAGAGCTTAGGGCTTGGGATTTTAGGAACTTTGAAAATGAAGAGTTATGGGAGCCTAAACTTATGTGTCAATGGCAGTTATGAGGCTGTAACAGGACGCAGGCTGCATGGCCTATGCAAGGCAGCAGATACAGGGGGTCCCAAATCATGGGAAACAACACGAACTGAATCAACAGCAGCATCAGCACTAACTGAACCATCAGGAGAACAATTAACTGGGTATGTTACTAATTTCTTTGGTTGCACTGAAAGTCCATTTGGTTGACTTCTTAACTAGAATAATGGAAATGATGCGAGACTGAGGGTGAGGTGGGGAGGGAATCAATTGGAGGGCTTTTTTGAGAGTGTGGCTGTTAAGTCTGAAATTGTGAAGGGTCTGAAATGTTACCCTCCTTGCACAGTTTATATATAAACACACACATACACACATAAGTTGTATGGATATCTATATATGATATATAAATGCATGTATATATGGCATAGAGCTGTGTGTGTGTGTGTGTGTGTGTGTGTGTGAGAACATGAGATTTCTGGATCAGGGATCAGATTCCCATGTCCTGTGTGTGCATAGTGGGATTTGTACCATAAGAGGGGGACTCAAATTATGAAACTTGGAGCTTACAGAATGGCTGGCAAAGCAGCCTTTCCTCTTCTCAGAGATAGAGAAAGAGAGACAGACTTTTGCTTTGGAATGTAAACAAATCTTCTCCGGGAAAGAGGAGGTCTCTAGGTTTTTATAACCCCAGGAATGTAAGCAAATGGCTCTGTTTTTATCACCCTGAGAAGGTAAGTGGCTCCAGGAGGCAGAAGACAAGCTTCTCTGACTCTGTCACCCTTAGAATGAGAGCAAATGGCTCTGTGCACAGTAGAGGAGATATTCTCTATTTTCCAAGGCATGTCTGCCTTTCAAACATCCTTTAATTCAGGTTGCCAGCAATTGTTGCTTAGAAAGCCCTAATTGTGCAGAAATGAGAAAATATTTATAGAGCACTGTTTCCCGATTGCTATGATTGATTCTTTAAAGAACTCATTCTCATATATCTAAAAGTAGGTGTCTGTCCACTCCCTTAAGGAACTATATCTGAAGGGGAAAGTGAGTGGAAGGAGGGCAGAGAGAGAGAGAGAGAGAGAGAATGAGAGTTAGTTTTGATTTTTAGTGACAGCATACTATTTTATCACACAAATGCATAATTTATTTGGCCTTTTCCTAGAAGTGGGCTATGATTAAATTGTATGAAATTTATAAACACTATCTATATACTGTGAAATTACCTTCCTTTCTGGATTAATATCTCCCAGATATTACCTTGTCAGCATTATGTGAGAGTAGTTATATCATCATATCCTTAAAAACACTAACTATATCATAGTTATAATCTTGGCCAATTTAATGCAATTTTTGATTTGTATTTTTCTGATACCTAGGGGATGAACTTTTATTTTTAAAATATGTTTATTGACCTTTTGTGTCCTTTGCCCATTTTGTATGGAATGTTAATGTTTTTCTGACTTATTTGTAGGTGCTCTTTTAATGTATCAAGAAAATTATCATCTCGTATAAATAATGGCATATGAAAAACTCCCATAAAGTTTTATGTATGCACTAATTATAGCCACATTTGAAATGCTGATGGAGACTTAAAGTGGAAGTGGAGCGATGGACTACTTGGGATGAAATATTCCCTGAAGCGCTATCTCTGTTCCTCTCTGACACCCTTCATTCCCCTACCTCCACCCCCCAATCCCCGTCTCCTGACCAAAGATACAAGGCTGTCTGAGAGCTTGGTCTGCTGGTCTCTGGGAGATAAGTGGAATCTTTCGAGTCTCAGACTAAGAGCTGTGGGTTTCTCCAGTCCCTGTTCTGTCTGCCCCAGGAGCTGGGTTGTTGGGAAGTGGTTCAGTACTGTCAGTTTGGGTAGGTACATACAGGAGATGGGCAGAGCTGGGAAGCAATGTGGCAGGAAGTTTCTTAGGCTGGATTGGGGCTCTATCTGGAAAGTGCCTCATCCACCGGACTTTCTCCATGCCTGCCCACTTCTGTGAAAGCTGGTAGTGTGCACGTGCCTGGGAGTCTGGGTATCCCCTTCTGCCTATGCCATCAGTCAGTTTTCTCTGCTATTAGGACTCTGCCTGTTGGTCAACTGGACCCTGGTCTAACAGAAATGACTTTCTTACTATTTATTCAACCTCAGTAGTGGATGTGAGAAGTCCCAGATAATCTTTAATAAGGACTTTTTAGTAAACAGTTTTAGCCTGCTTTCTGTCAGACCCTTTCTAGAGAATTAATGATAATATGGTTAAGGAGGGCAGAAATAAGAAATGCTAGAGAAGTGAAGGGCAGGAAGGCAACACAAATTGTAAATTTCGCTTTATAGTAATTGGAGGTCTAACATCCTTGTTTGAGAAAATAACATACAAATTGTGAATTCCTTGCAAGTAGGAATCTACTTTAGTGTTCTTCCTGATCCCCAGTGTGGGGCTGAGCACAAAGCAGAAATTTAGCATTTCAGAATTTATCATAATTAGCTCTCTCTTTTAAACTCAGAGTTCTGAATGTAAGACAACTTACATTCAAACAGGGCTCCTCAGTCAATATTAAATCTGTTATACTTTGTTCTTACCTTTAAACCCTTTTTAAGAATAGGAATTGGAAAAGAACTGTATGATTTTGAGCTTAACCATAGCCGAAACTCAGGGTCTATTGTCATGTCTGGACTATTAAAGCTGCAAAATAAAAAATTATAAATATTTAATGTGAAAAATGTAAACCAGCATGTTTTTAGAATCATAGCATTTCATTGTTTGAAGTGGCCTTATGAATCATTTTAATACCGAAGATCTTACTATATTACCAAAAGAGCTTCCATGTTGTGCAAGAATTTGCACACGACTCATCAGTTAACATTTTAAAAGAGTAGCTTTCTTTCCCCTAAGTACAAAAAGTGATCATATACTCATTGCCAAAAATCTGGAAATAATTACAAATTAAGAACACAATGAAGAGTTCCACTGATCTAATTTGGGACAACTGAATGGCAAAATAAATGATGATGGTAACCAATTATAATCCTTGAATAAAACAGAAATCCATGAGGCCATACTGATATAAATAAACAAAGGGAAGAGAAAGAAAAGCTCTTCCTGTATAGGATAACATCATTAAATAAATTTAGAAGAAGTTGTGGAGTTAGTAAGCTACCTTTTGGTAAACAATATAGTAGTAATTCAGTCAAAAATTATCAATGAACTTTAGAAACCAGTAGGTGAAAGTTTAATGTATGTATATGGTCTGAAAGTTCCCACAAGTGGCAGAAACCACTTTAACCAAGTGACCAAAGTTAATATCACCACCAATGAGACAGATTGATATCACAGGCCTCTTGATATGATGTACCAAGAATGATGTAACATTACTTCTGTGATACTACTACAATACTGCATGGCCTTAATCTAACCATAAGAAAATATCAGCTAAATCCCAACTGAGGGACACTTTACAAAATACAGTCAGCTCTCTATATCCATGGGTTCCACATCCATGGATTCAACCAGACTCACATTGAAAATATTCAGGAAAAAAAATTTCAGAAAATGTTAAGGTATTGCTGACCTGTACCATGTAGTTAGGCCTACAATGTCTGCATCTGTACTAAAACTATACAGACTTTTTTTCCTTGTCATTATTTCCTAAACAATACAGATTAATAACTATTTATACAGCATTTACTGTGTATTAGGTACTATAAGTAATCTAGACATGATTTAAATTATACAGCAGGATGTGTGTAGATTATAGGCAAATACTACATCATTTGATATAAGGGACTTGAATATCCAAGAATCCCAGTATCCACAGGGGGTCCTGAAACCAATTCCCTGTGGATAGTCAGTGACCACTATAACTAGCTTGTACTTGTACTTTTCAAAAACATCAAAGTTATGAAAGACAAAGGCAGACTGAGGAACTATTATAGATTAAAGGAGATTTAGGGTATGGTGGCACGCACCCATAGTTCCAGCTACCTGGGTGGTTAGGGCAAGGGGATCACTTGAGCCCAGGAATTCAAGTTCAGCTGGGGCAACATAGCGAGACCTCACCTCTAAATAAACAGACAAACAAACAAATAAAATGCTTATTAGGAGACTTAAGAGACATGAAAACTTAATACAATGAGAAATCATGAATTGAAATTTTGACCAAAACTTATATTCTATTTTGCAATAAAAGATATTATTGGGACAATAAACTAAACATGAGTAAATAATGAACAATGCACACTGAACTATTTAGAGGTCAAGTGGCAACATGTCTGCAATTTACTTCCAAATGATTCAGAAAAACATTACATATATATATGAGAGAAATGATAGGGTAAATTTTAAGAATTTGGAAATAGAGATGAAGGGTATAAGGGAGTTTTTGTATTGTTCTTGCAACTTCCCTGCAAGTGTGAAATTATTTTTAAAAAATTTGCAAAGCAAACCAAATCATTACAAGGAAAAAAAAAAACACACAACACAAAATGAAACAAAAAACAAATATGGCCTGTAATCCCACTAAATGAGTTTAGGTACACTTTTCTCTTTTTTTTTCCTCCTTTTGCCTCTCTCTGTCTCTCATTTTAAAAATAGTAATAGTGCATATTTTGTTTGTAGCTTTTTATTTTTTCTCCTAGCAATATGTTGTCAACATATTTCTCTAACTCTGAAATTTAAGAAATATTTTTTTCTTCACATTTTTCCTCTCCTACTGTGGGCTGGTAGAGTGACCATCTTAAATATCTAAAGGCTTGATTTAATAAAGAAGTATGAATTTCTTTTTCTTTTTTTTTTTTTTTTTGAGATGGAGTCTCACTCTGTCGCCCAGGCTGGAGTGCAGTGGCGTGATCTCAGCTCACTGCAACCTCCGCCCCCTGGGCTCAAGCGATTCTCCTGCCTCAGCCTCCCGAGTAGCTGGGACTACAGGCTTGTGCCACCACAGCTGGCTAATTTTTGTATTTTTAGTAGAGATGGGGTTTCACCATGTTGGCTAGGCTGGTTTCAGACTCTTGACTTCAGGTGATCTGCCTACCTCGGCCTCCCAAAGTACTGGGATGACAGGCATGAGCCATCGTGCCTGGCCCGGAAGTATGAATTTCTTTTAATAATACTCTGATTATGTTGAATATGTTTAATGTATCATTAATTACTCTTATTAAGATGGAAATTCTGTTCTGAGGAATGTTTCTCTCATTTCTTTTTTTTTTTTTTTATTAGCACAGTGCTACCTGCCATACTATTGTACTATTGTCTCTTTGCACCTTAGTATCCTCTGGAAAGCTGCTACAGTGTTTGCCTGGTCCATGCTGTGTCCTTGTGCCTAGCACAATACTTGACAAATAGCAGATGCCCTATAAATCGTTTTTGGATGAATAATGAATGAAAGACATGGTAGAAAGTAATTTCAAAGTTTATAGCTATTAAAGTCATGTAACTAAGCAATCTTTGCCTTCTGATTCTCTTAAGTCATGAAATAAATGTGAAAAAGAGAAATTATTTAATAGTATTTATTTATTTATTTATCTATTTATTGTTGTACAGATGGGGTTCGCTATGTTGCCCAGGCTGGTCTTGAACTCCTGGCCCCAAACAATGATCTTGCCTCGGCTTCCCAAAGCATTGGGACTATAGGCGTGAGCCACTGTGCCCCACTGATACAGTTTTGAAACTGCTAAAAGAATTAACAATCTGGTAACTCATGAATGATATTAGGAAAGTTTTTAGAAATTTAAGTCATGCAGTTGCATTTTGGTTTTATAGTTTCCTCGTGCATGTTCAAAGCATAAAAATAAAAATAACAATAGGATATTGGCCATGCAAAAAAAGGGGAAAGAAAACCAAGGCTGGATAAAAACTATAGAATGTAATTAGTTGAAATATTATTGATTCAAAACATTGCTAATTCTTCACTCAAAGTTATAGCAATAAACTTTCAAATACTTCCCCTGCAAACAAGAAGGCTGAACGTATAAAAATTTCTGTATGAGTGACTAAGTGCTTTGGGAGGTACAGCCTAGAAAAGTATTTTGAGCTAGAGAAAGTCAGAATAGATACTAAGTAAAGGCCATAAAAATGAATCATCACCGAAAGGATAGATATGAGGTATTATGCTCTGCTATTTGGAACGTCACATAGAATATTAAAAACTATGTATCCATCAGTACATATAATGTGTGTGTATGCTTGTGTATCTATTGAGAGTAAGAATTTGAGGAAAGAAACTGATATACAAGACCGAGAACAAAAACTAAACAGGCCTTAAAAAAATATAAAAACTGATGTATTCTTAGTGTAGTTTTCAAGTTCCTGGAGAAAAGAAAACCAATAGCTTAAGTTTCATCTGAGTGGCTCAACACATTTTGTTATTGTTTACACACAGTATACATTGCCATTTCCAGTTTTACTTTATAGTTTTGGTAACCAATCTGATCCCTTACAAATAAATGTAAAACTCTTACGATTCTACAATTGCGCAAAGCCTTGGCATAAATGAGGCTGCAAGATGGCAGTTCTGGAGGAAGACCCATTGTTGTGTTTTCGTTAGTGCCTTTAAAATGAGGTCTTCAGCTTTCGCTGCCTGGTCACGGCCCAGAGAAATTATGGTCACATGATGTGTTGTTCCTTTTAACTCTTGTGCAAATCTCAGGAGAATATTGGTAAGGTCGATCCCTGTATAACGAACTGGAGAGGTATATACAACTGTAAGCTCATTTAATTCCCTCTTAAAAATCACAATCCAGCATTTATTAAGTAGTGGTGGGAAAAGGTATAGCCATAGCGGAAAGACTACAGGTTTTGAAATTAGAGCCCAGAGTTTAAATTTTGGCCCTGCCACTTACTAGCCTAACACACGAGGATGATAATAATATCTAACGACAGCAGCACCTGCTGGTTGTCTTCTCCGGCATTTACCTGTCCTTTCCTCCTCCGTAGCTGTACCCCAGTGTTGTTCGAGATGGCCGTGTGCCCAGCTAAAATACTACATTTTTAACTTCTGTGGGCATCTAGGTTTTGTGATATATTTTGGCAGGAAATTTTGTTAGCAAAAGTGTTGTGTAATACTCAATAGGAAAGACATGGAATCAACCCAAATGCCCATCAATGATAGACTGGATAAAGAAAATATGGTGCATATATACCATTGAACACTATGCAGTCATAGAAAGGAACAAGATAATTTCCTTTGCAGAGACATGGATGGAGATGGAAGCCATTATCTCAGCAAACTAACAAACACAGGAACAGAAAACCAAACACTACGTGTTCTCACCCATAAGTGGGAACTGAGCACTGAGAACACATGGACAAATGTGGGGGGAACAACACATACTAGGACCTGTTGGAGGTTGTAGGGAGGCAGAACATCAGGATAAATGCTAAGGTATGTGGGGCTTAATACCTAGGTGATGGGTGGATAGGTGCAGCGAATCACCATGACACACGTTTACCTATGTAACAAACCTGCACGTCCTGCACATGTATCCCGGAACTTAAAATGAAACAAAATTAAATTAAAATAAAAGTGTTGTGTAATACTTTGGGTATCTCCTTAAAGGGAGGATGTGTGCCTTTCTTCCTTGCTTGCATTCTGTTGTTTGGAACATGAATATCAGGTGTCTAGAGCCCTAGCCACCATCATGGGCTAAGTCTTTAAGAAACGGATAGTACCTACTATGAGTGTGTCAAGCATCTAGCCAAGTGCTTTACATGGAAACGTTCCAGGTGAGAACCTGGAATGGTGGAGGCACTCCAAACAAGGTTTTATGTAATAAAATCAAAGTTTGAAATGATGAATTCTAAAGACACATTTAATTTTTGGAACAGAAGATAAATGAAGAAAATATTTTGCTAGTTTATTTCTCATAGTTTATTTTGTAACATATATTTTTGCACATGTCAATATTTATTAAACACATGCATAGACATAAGGGCGATTCCAACCTCCAGAGCAACAGTATGTGTTTGCAAGGTATTTTCTTTTTCTTTTTTGCAATATATCATTTAAATGTTTTATTACATTTATATAAAAGGAGGTAATTAAATGATTAAATGTAATATTTGAGATGCTGATCAATAGTTGCTTCTTTTTTCAATTTGTAATGTTTTATTTCATTCTTTTCTTTTTTTTATTATACTTTATGTTCTAGGGTACATGTGAACAACATGCAGATTTGTTACATATGTATACATGTGCCATGTTGGTGTGCTGTACCCATCAACTCATCATTTACATTAGGTATATCTCCTAATGCTATCCCTCCCCCCTACCCCCACCCCCCCCAGTGTGTAATGTTCCCCTTCCCATGTCCAGGTGATCTCAATGTTCAATTCCCACCTATGAGTGAGAACATGCGGTGTTTGGTTTTCTGTTCTTGTGATAGTTTGCCTAAGAATGATGGGTTTCCAGCTGCATCCATTCCCTAAACAAAGGAACCATGAACTCGTCCCTTTTTCTATGGCTGCAAGTATTCCATAGTGTCACATTCATGTGGCCACTTTTTTTACAATCCAGTCCTGTCACTGATGACATTTTGGGTTGGTCTCCAGGTCTTTGCTATTGTGAATAGTGCTGCCAATAAAACATACCGTGCTGCATGAATCCTTATAGCAAGCAGAATGATTTAAATCCCTTGGATATATATACCTCAGTAAACCGGGATGGCTGGTGCAAATGTAGCTATCTAAAGTTATTTACACATCTTGAGGAATCACCATACTGCCTTCCACAAGGTTGAACTAGTAATACAGTCCACCACAGTGTAAATGCTTCCTAACTTCTCCACATCCTCTCCCAGCACCTGTTTGTTTCTGACTTTTTAACTGATTGCATCCTCGTAACTGGTGTGAGATGGTCATCTCTCATTGTGGTTTTGATTTGCATTTCTCTCATGGCGTAGTGATATGAGCACTTTTTCATGTGTCCTAATTGGCTGCATAAAGGTCTTCTTTTTGAAGAAGTGTCTGTTCATATCCTTTCCCAACTTTTTATGGATGATTGTTTTATTTTACTTTGTAAATATGTTCTGAGTTTCTTTGTAGATTCCTGCGGATATAGCCCTCTGTCGAGAAGTAAGATTGCAAAAATTTCCCCCGTTCTTGTTGCCTGTTTCAACTCTGATGAATGAGCTCTTTTGTCTGTGCAGAAGCATCTTTAGTTTTATTAGATCCATTTAGTCATTTATAGGCTTTTGATTGCCATTGTATTTGGTGTTAGACAATGAATCCTTGGGCCATGCCTATGTCCTGAATGGAATGCTAAGGGTATTTCTCATTACTAGGGTTTTTATGGATTTTTTAAGATGTATGTTGTAAGTCTCTCACATCCAAACTTCGGAATTAAATTCGCTTTTGTATAAGCGAGTAAGGAAGGATCCATATCAGCTTTCTACTATGGCTAGCCCAATTTCTCAGCACATTTATTAAAAAGGGAATACTTTCCACAATTTCTCTTGTTTTCTGCTCAGGTTTGGTAAAGAATCAGATAGGTTGTAGACATAGTGTGGTACTATCTTCTGAGGCGCC